ACAAGAAGTTTGCTTCTTGTAATTTATATCACACTTGGTATAGTAAGACTACTAGAATTAGTATGATTAAATATTATTTTGAAACTCATCATAAAGAGAGCTATGATAGACTCCAGTCAACATTATGGGTATGAAATATTGAACCTTATAGTTCTTGTAATAAAAGAAAGTTAAGCAACTCAATGGACTTCTTATTCATTAGATTATTTGTGATCAGAAGGCTTTTCAGATTATAGAAAATAAAGATTTTTACAAATTAATTTTAGCACTTGATCTACAATTTAAAGTGCCAACAAGATAGACAATTTCAGACCATATTCTATGCATAAAAAAACAGAAATAAGCACAATTATGCAGTTTTTTTAAAACTTCAATCACAAAGTTGCAATAACTGTTGATACATGGTCTGTATATACCATTATATTAGATAGATAATAATTAGTGTATACAATATACTCTATTTAATTTAGTTCCCTTATACAAATAGCATACTGAAGTTTTTATTACCAAAAATATTATAGAGCAAGTAGAGTATTTTGGGCTGGGCACACAATTGTTGTCTCTCACTATAGACAATACAGCAAATATAGATGCATGTGGTTACTATTTAGCAAGCTTATTTGAGTTATATTATAATAAAGATTTTTGTAGAATTAGATATACTTCTCATATATTGAATCTTGCTGTTAAAGAAGGAATTTTAGTTCTTGATAAGTCTATAAAAAAAGCCTGTAAATTTTTAGTTATATTTACACTTTTAGCCTAGCTTTGAAGAACTAAAAAGGTTTTTTTTGATAAAGGATAAACAATTTCTTGTACCAGATTTGGATATCGATACTAGATAGAATTTAACATACTTTATACTTAATAAACTTAGTCAAATTTAAGAAATAACTAATATTTTAGTAGTTTTCTTACTTGAGTTTAGATACTTATATCTAACTGATAATGATAAGAAACAAATAACTATAAGTTTTTTTTAAGTATTATACTGAACTATAAATAATAATTATATATTTATATAAATTTATCTTATAGTCAATTATAGAACTTTTGAAACCTATATATAAAGCAACTAAACTTCTTTTTTCTTCAAGCCATCTGATACTTGAGGACTTAAAAACAGTTTTTTATGTAATTATAGAAGTTCTTGAAGATTCACAGATTGAAGAAGATATGGTTAAAGATCAAACTGCAAGAAAAATTAGTAGAAAAATTGATTATTATTAGAATAAATTGCAATCATATTTTTATGAAGCAGTTCTTTTTGATCTCTCAACAAAATTTATAATCTTTAAATATAGTACTCAGAGAGATGATGCACTTTACAAAATTTGGTCAACATATCAAACTTATATACTAGCAAAAGAAAATACTACATTACAAGCTGAAAATTAAGCTAAAACAACATTTGCATATAACTATTTTAAACAACAAATAAAGCAAATATATCATAATAGTTCTATATTAAATAATAATATATTGGATAAGTATCTTAATGCACCTGATTAAGATGTAAATATTCTTATTTATTGGAAGTTAAAATCTTTATATTTACACTGGATGCCTTTTATTAGAATAGTATATGATTATTTAATCATTCAAGCAACCAGTATAACTAGTGAGCAGATATTTTTAGTAGCTAAATATACTATAAACAAAACACAAAATTGTATAAATGCAGAAAAAGTATATACAAGCCTTTGTCTTAAAACATGGTATGAAGCAAAAATAGTTAATAACTGGAATAGTGGTAGAAATCAGTTTTCTTAATAAGTCTTAGTGTATTTTATTGATAGTTACAAGGCCTACCAAATTTTCTTTTTTCTGAAATCTAATTTTTTAGCACATATTTGCTTTTCAGGCCTATGATTTTTTTTGATATTAATTTTTGGGCTATCAAACATTTATTGATTTTTTTTTACTATTTTGGTTAGGTAATAAACTTTGTGGCTAGCTTGTTCTAATATATCATACTGTCTATTATTGTGGTTTTTTTTATTTTGTTGCATAGCTTTATCTGTTTGTGTATTTATTTAACAACTTTGCTAGTCTGAAGATAATATTGCCTAAATAATTATGACTTTCTAAAAATTTGAGTTTA